AAAAAAAAAAAAAAAAAAAAAAAGACTCTGTCTCAAAAAAACAAACAAAAAACAAACAAACAAAAAAAAGCCAAAGATCACTAATCACTGATGACCATCACAAATATAATAATAATGAAAACATTCAAAACATTGAGAAAGTTACCAAAATGTAACACATATACACATAAGTGAGCATATGCTATTGGAAAAATGGCACCTATAGACTTCCTCAATACAGAGCTACTACAAACTTTCAATTAGTAAAAGGCACAATATCTGCAAAGCATAATAAAGTGAAATGTAATAAAAGAAGTATACCTAGATAATAAAAAGAAATCAATTACATACAAAAATAGTACCATAGGGCGGCGCCTGTGGCTCAAAGGAGTAGGGCACCAGCCCCATATGCCAGAGGTGGCAGGTTCAAACAAAGCCCCAAAAGACTTTGCCAAAGACTGCAAAAAAAAAAAAAAAAAAAAGTACCATAAAGAGAATAAGTGTTAGTCTATAACACCACTAAGACCCATGCAAGATGATTCTTTGAAAACACCAGACTCAGGAAAATATGTTTCTCACTGAATGATGAGCAGCAGATTTTTAAAAATGCTATAAATAAAAGAAGAAAAGAGAAAATAAAATCAAGTAGAAAAACCACACAAAAGAAATGTTACCACAAATCAGATGAAAATTACAATAACACATTTTGCCATCACAAATATAACCTTAAAGAAGCAATCACTTCTATAACACAGGAAACATAAAGAGTTGGCAAAGGTGCTCAGGGAAGCTATGGCCAAAAAAATGAGGAAATATAAAATGTGAACTGACAGTTCTGAGAAGTAAAAAATAAAAGATAAATAAATACAATGAAAATTGAAAGGCACGACTGGGCACGGTGGCTCACGCCCATAATCCTAGCACTCTGGGAGGCCAAGGTAGGTGGATAGCGTGAGTTCATGGGTTCAAGACCAGCCTGAGCAAAAAGCGAAACCTTGTCTCTATGAAAAAATAGAAAAACTGAGGCAAGAGGATCACTTGAGCCCAAGAGTTGGAGGTTGTAGTGAGGTATGACACCATGGCACTCTACTCAGGGAGACAGCTCGAGACTCGGTCTCAGAAAAAAAAGAAAAGTGAAAGGCAAATGGAAGAAAGAACAGAGAACAGGTACTGCTAAAAGCAGGAAAGTACACACAGGACAAAA